CTCTGTATGGGCTGGGCCACTTTTTCCTTATGCAAGTTTATGCAACGTTTGTAGACCGACCCAGATATGGTGGACTACTTGAATTCTTTATGGAGCAGTTGTCTTGAAGCTTACACAGGTATAATTCAAGGTATGAAGGAAGGAGATAACGGACAACCAAGCCCTCAACTTCAGTTCATTGCTGGCCATATAAACTTCATCTTGACCTTCATCCAACATGTTGGAAATGAAGCTGTCGCTACGGACGATATAATCTCCTCATCCTGTGGCCTTATTGGGTTTGTCATTCAACCAAATGCAGATATTAAGTGCTTACTGCCGGTAATTTATGCAGTCACAAAAAAAATACTCCTGTCATTACTTTAGTGACATTGTCTCGTCGTTTGGGCTGCAAATTTTGCCCTTCATAAGCGTCTCATCCCTGCAGAATGTATTGCAGCAGGGGCGACGATCGAAAAACAGTCACACACGCACCATGGCTCATTGGGCGATCAAGGAAATCAAAAAGCTACAAAACGCTGCCAAGGCTGCCGGTATGGAAGCACAGCAGTTTTCGGATGGCACTCCCGGCGCTTCAATGCTCACCACTGTCGGGGATTCTGCTGGCTCTATGAAGACCTAAGGTTGGTGTTTGCCTTTGTGTGGTAGTAGCGCATAATTTGCTCATTTTCGTACCGTTGTCCCAGTTATGCAGGCGGGCTTGCTCATCGGTTTCCGTCGTTTTTGATTTGTAGATGGGCATCGCATCCTCTGCTGATTACCTTAAGCCTCTACGTATTTCTCCTGTCCTTTATGACCTTCTATGGCGATTTACCGCATATTCACGCCTCAGTCATCTCCATCAACCCTCCATCTTGTACAAATCTCCGTTAACTTCATCTGTTTCATATTTTTGTCGAAAAACAGATGCCTGTCCGCCCTGCATTTCCAACTTCTTCATCTCTTCTTCTACTTGCAAATCAGAGATCTATTCTTGCAAGCTTACTCTCCCACTCTTATTATTGGTTCTACCAACTTTTAATACTTTTCGGCTCGAACTGCGATGTTGCATCATTTTGGTAAAAGGCGAGGTTTATATAAAGGCTTCCTCTTGCATGGTTTTAGAAGTTACATCGAAAAGCAGGGGATTTAGATGCTTTGTTGTACATTCGCGATGATTGAGTTGAATCGCTAGTTCAAATAGAAATCAAGTTGAACATGCATGGTAGTGAAAGTAGGAAGAAGTAAAACTGAAAGAGGCAGTTGGTAAGGTCGAAGGATCATTTAATGGAATGTCTGGTGTGTCTTTAATCTCTTGAGTTTCCTGCACAACGCTTCCATGAAGTCGGAGGGTTGGAGTGTTACACTAGTTACCATTCCTCGAGCTCCGATCAACAAGTCTGCCTGTAAATGAGATTTATGCTTAGAGGCGTGTGCGTTTAAGAATTTTACTCTCTACCTCCAGATTGGGAGATCTTGTAACTTATGCCCAAATAAGTGAGTACAAGCTAAACATTTCGGAAAGTGCCAGGGTATACCTCATGCTGTTTAAAGAAGGGGTTGAGAGGCCTATGATTGATTTCCGTCGCTGTCCAAGGAACAAAATCTTCTGAAATTGAAGTAGTCTGCTTCCGGCCAAGAAGCCGTAGGACTGACATACGGAGGGGAACGCTTGCGGGCTTCTTAAAAAAAGCTGAAGCGAAGGGGAGCAAGCCGGTACACGCAAGAGGACCTTCTGGGTCTATGCTCTTCACCTATTAACGTATAACAGGCTGATTCCTAAGTTGGGAATTCCTCCAGAACTAAGGAATTGCGCTTTTATCCATCAATGCGACGTGCAGAATGTTTTTATCACAAGAAGAACTTGTGTCTGAGATTGCCAGTGCCACTTGTTTTCAAACAATTAAGAACTTGAATGGAATATAGCAACTCAACTCAGCGTTATGAGTTTAAAGGCGGGATATCCACGCTTAGAGCATGAGACTTCTCGAGCTACTCGAACAGACCTGAATATGCTTTCCGTCAAGAGCTCCTAGAAATAGCGGGGGTTCCGGTCTTATCCCAATATACGCGTTACTGAGAATCCAAGACGGCGCTTTAATGTCGTGGCTCAGTTGCACTATGATGCGCATATTAGCATTTAGCATAGATTTGAGCTATTATTTTTATTATTATCCGTTGACGGAGCGAGACTCGTAAATACAATAGGTATGCACAAATTTTAGTCCATCCACATGTAAAATCACTCTAAAGCATCCTTACCAATTTCACAATCTCGGCAATCTGCTGTCTCATGAAAGTGGCATGCTACAGTTCCGCCGTTTAAAACTTACACAGCCAAATCAAGAAGATTTTCCCTTCCTTTGCTAAGGACTCACCTTGTTAGTACCACTGTCGTCAAATGTGACACCAATCTTTTGGTCTTGCGTCTGTCTGCACACTATCAGAGTCTTAGCAAGGGGCAGTCGTCTCAGACGTAGACGGCACTTCACTTCGCCGGGGTACAGTGCAACGTCGGGTCGCCGCTGCTGCTCCCGTGTCGCCCATCGTTTAGTGGCCTCAACCGTCTGCCTGACTTGGCGCTGAGTATGCACATTATGACCATTGATAGAAACCAGAAGATCTCCCAAGTGGAAAAGGCTGTGCAAATTGGGCACCCGAGGGTTCCAACCACCAATCCTTGACATGATACGGTCACGGTACACAAATTCAGTCCCATAGTAATTATACGATCAGCTTTAATTGACCAAGTCAGATACATTATTAAAACATTAAAACATCGACCCACGCAACAACTGCGGCATGGCAATTCCGAAACCTCCCACAAAGCTCTAGATTATTAGACGTATTACAAGGTCAAGCACAGATTTGCTGTTACATTAAAAAATCTCAACATCACCCTAATTTACAGGTGTTCCTTACCACAGGTTATCACCCAATTCAACTATTGCCACGTTTCTGAGAAGATCAGACGTTGATACATAAATTTCAACACCACCAGGATTGAGAATCTCCCTTTGCAAATCAAGACTATCCGCATAAAACGGGTCCACCTTTTTTGCTGTAACGGAACAAGTGTGTGACATGTATCCTGCTAAGGCTTTTAGACAAAGTAAATTGGTCCTAAGCATTTATTATTATTCAGTGGATTAGTTTTACTGCAAAACACTTTGTAACTCACTATGAGATCAGGGCAGACCTGCCTACAAGTCACTGAATTATTTTAAACGTATTTCCGAAGCCTATTACAAAATTTATTTGCATTTTCACCATATTCAAAGACAAGAGGCTCATCACAAATCTCAAAGCTGACTGCTTAGTGTAGCTTCTTCTTGAAGCAATCAAATATAAGCAAAGGGTATAATCCTATCGGGCATAAAAGTACGAAATATTGTGTCTCCTTGGGGGATACCTTAAAGGTTTAAAAATATAGGGATAGAAGATGGCCTCGAATACACAATAAGACGAGCTAAAATGTAGTTAAACTTACCTTCTGGTTGATAACTTGGGGACGAGCCTCGAACTTCAATAACGAAGGGTTCAGCAAAGGCGTCGAAGGGTGGTGGATCAGGATTAGGTGGAAGGCAGACAGGAGCAGAAGTCGGCGGCGGCAAGTAGTAAGCAGAGGTGCCCTCGTCGCCAGATGATAGGGTTTCCTTTATCACTGGAATCGTTCGCTCAACTTCTACGCTTGAAAGACTCTCACAATCCTGCAGCAAACGCACATATAGAACGGCCACACAACTTATGTGCAATCATTTCATCACGAAAGTAATTACAGTCACTCGAAATCTGCAGAGTACTACGCAAAGTGTGAGTACAATTGGCAAGCAAACTAGTAAACTATATGGCGTCGCCACATCTAAGTGCTAAAAAGTACATATTTCGATAGGAAACTTACATTACAAACTTCATTCGAGAATTGCGAATAACGCCAACAGAGCCACGGTCGGTTGGACGCAACTTTTTCAAGCATGACTTGAGAAAATCGACGTCTAACTACGGACAAGACTAGCTTCGAATGACTACGAAAAGAAGATGTATTTTAAGAACGTGCTATTCAACCACTCGTCAGTGATTTAGAGCACGAAAAGTCAGGAGAACACACCTCACTCGGAAATTGACTTCCGCATTTAAGGAGGCAAAAATAGACCTCATTCATTTATCTTAGCCTCATTGGCCAGAAAAATGATCATATCGCTGTCACACAAAAGAAAAAAATCATTTACCATGGCCAATAAGCGGATAACCATAAAATACTCTAATTTATCTTACCAATAAGGGCTGTTAAGTAACGTATGACATCCCACAATAATTTGACAAAAATAATTGACTTTTCAACAGCATATATTTAAAACCCAATATAAAAAGTGAATCAAAAGTTTCAGTTCTACCTAATCAAAGTTCAATTTTGCTATGGAAAAGTATGGTGTACAGACATCCAACCCTTTTGATTCAATTTTGGAAATGTTCACTAAACAGAGCACGCGAGCTTAAAACGAAGGCAGTAATGGTTAAGACAAAGAAAAAAAGAAGATATAATATTAGAAGTCAGACATAATGTTACAAGAAAGCATACCAAAATATCTCAGGCAGGGCCTTGTTTAAGTGAATGTCTGACCGACGGCGGTCGCTTTATGATCCGTCTGGTCTTCGGGAGTCGCTTTATCCTTTTTGGGATACATATATCTAGCTCCGCTTACTGTGTTCTTCCTTCCCGTGGGAAGCGGTGGACTGCCAATTCGACATTTTTTCAACGATTTCTACCCTCGCACGAACCATTTATTGCATGTACCTGCGGTGTGGAAGAGACGCTTTTGCATCGGTAGCAAAGAATTTGAATGAAGTCTGTATTTGCTTTCACCTTATTCCCACGTCTCACAGACAAGCTATTAACGACTGAAGTGA